GGTTGCACATATTTGCAGTCTGACGCACAGGAGGATTCCGGACGCGTTTCACTTCCTTACTGCAATATCCCTTATGCTGTGGGAGTTTCGTGCGCAACACCATGCAGTTTCACACGTGCCTTTCCTGCTGGGTTTTCAGTGTAACGTCCCCATTATGCTGCATGCAATGAAAGATTGTTTGTATTGACCTCATGTGCCAGAGAGAAAGGGCAAAGTTCCCTGTACTTCACAATGCAGTTGCACGTTAAAGTGGCCAACTACTGGCTCTAATGAAGCGTGTACTGGTGTTCTCTAGAGAAGAGGTTTACTTTTTTGAAAAGCAAAAGGTTAAAATAAAATTTCAGAGGCTGTTTTACATAGGAAAAAAGGCCCACCAACTGTAAAGGAGTCTTTATGTAAATGAAGGTAGAGTAGCATCTTGCAGTGCCAGAAGACTGCAAACACCAAAGGTTGCAGCAACCTTAAACTTGCTGCTCATTTTAGATTCTATTAAAACAAGTTAAATATACATTTTTAAAAAGAAAACAAGAAAGAGAATGACTTTCATATATGCATAGTTCAAATGTAGTCAGTCTTTCAACTTTCTAACAAATTTTATGGGCAAGTAACTAAATATCCTTGCAATGAAGCTCCAGAGCTTAAGACAACCGTTTTTCTCCCAGCAGAAATTACTCTCCCCTTGTTATATTCTTCAATGAATGTGAAAAGCATGCCAACAAGTCAACTTTATTTTTCTGCTTTACAAGTAAACATTTTGTTTTGCAGAGAACACTTGCATGTGAGTCAAAGAGTGACAGGCCAGTCTGTTTTAGACAGGGTACCACTGATGATACTGTTAGTGACACTGAGTGAAAAAGCAAAACGCTACAATAAATTTGATTTGAAAAAAAAAAAAAAGTAAAGAAAAAGAAAATCGGAGGAAGGAGGAAGAAAATAAAAGAATGAGCAACTGAACAAGAGGGGACTGGAAAGCAATCAGATACGTACCTCCTAATGCAGAATAAGCAGAGACAGCCAGTCACAGAACAGAAAGGTGATAGGTCATAGGCCATAAGGAAAACAAGAAGGCACATTTAAACCACTCATTAAAAAATCATAGCCAAAACCAAACCAAGAGAAACTCACAAATAATATGGAAAAATAAAGACATACAAAAATAACTACTTGAACAGAAATCCTTTTTTCATATACAGAAAACTGAATTGAAATATCATACAGTTTTCCGAAATGACTTTATGGAGACTTAGTTGTTATTTATCAGCCATGGCATGTGGTAAATCCCGCACGGAGTTTCCTTTCTGTTGCCGAGTATTCATTTCTCAAGTATCAGAAATAAACTCCACTCCAAAGTTTGTAACAAGATTGTTAATTTGGAGACCTAACATAAGCAGCAAAAGCCTACGGTTGTGAAAGGAGTTACTTCTTATTAGCTGGTACGTTTTAAAATATAAATTACAAGGTTAATCCTATTAGATTTACAATAAAGCGGGCAGACAAGGAAGCAGCATACATGCTACGAACGAACAAAAAAAACACAGCAGCAAAACTGCCCTTATAACTAACCTAATTTCAGCAGCCAACCTTCTCTATCTGGATTAAAAAATGTATGCGTTAGATCATTTCCATCATCCTCTGGAATTTTAAATGGCTCATTCTTAATACTTTCATATAAATTCTAGAATAAAAGAAGAGAAAAAAGATCTCATTAATAAGCGTCTATCAGCAACGCATGCTGGATATCCTACTGCTTCTCAGATTGTTTGTGTAAAAAGTATATGAAATACTGTCTGGAAAATTTTGTACCATCCCTTCCCAATCACTATTTACTACTTTGAGTAAGTTTACTTTTAATTTATTTTATCTATAAACAAGCATTTTTTTTATAGTTTTTATATGCGCTTCCTAGCAAAGACATATCTTTAAGTTTGGTGTTCAGCATTTCAAAGGTTTCAGCTTCTCGTACAGCTCTCAATTAGTACAAGTGTTGTCAAACAAATTTGGGTTTTTGGAAAATCCTTTAGACCATCACAGTGTTATACACAGATATATTACAGAAAGAGATAAATATTTTTATTGATATTTCAAGGGACAGGAGAAAAACTTCCACAAAACATATGGAAGAAAAAGAAATGTAATAATGAAATACAATAATTTCTACTGTTTTTTCCTGCTTTCTCTGACTTACCCAGAAATAGTATTTTTTCATAGGAAGTCAGTTCCATGAGAATTTTGCCGTAAGCAAAACTAAGAGCTATATAGACTCTCCTCTGCTCAGTGTAAGACTGAGTAAGGAGAGAGTTAAATCAAAGAAGCTGCAAATATCACAAAACGCTTCTTTCAGTTATTTGAATGGGTATGCATGCTAGAAAATTATCTTCTTACTTCCCTTGACAAGCCAGTCTGAGAACTGTTACATATGCTTCTCTGTTTCCCACTAAAAATACAAAAGCAATTCCTTTTCTTCTCCAATCCAACTTACCCGTAGCAATTCTTCAGGAAGGTCTCCACCTTCATTAATTCCACGATTCATAGAAATAAATCTCTCTACTGTTGGTTTATCTCTTACATTGTGGTTGTGCAGACTGGTATTTAGCATAATGATTGCAAACGATAGCACGTAGCACGTATCTGAAATATGATTTGAAAAGAATCATTAAAAGACAATTTTTCCTCTTGTGTACTGTGGTACTACAGAAACCTGTAAAACAAATATGTAGCTTATCCTGACTAATAAGGAGAGAGATAGGTCATCAAAAAAAAACCCAAACGCTATACATGAAAGCAAAGCCTCAAATGTTTCTCTCAACTACAGACATAAGACTAAGAAGAAAAAAATAGCTAACAATCCAAATTAAAAGCCAGTGGGAAAACCTGGCTTTTACAGAAAGAAAACACCAGAAACTTTTAAAACCTCTTTCAAATAATTGCTATCACTCCGAATTAACACTTCGCTTGAAATGCTGAAGTGTTCTCACCCAAAACTTGAGAGAGCTGTCATTTACGTTTTCTGCACGTAGGCATTCTACCTAGATCTTAAAACAGACTCATCAGTTAGACTCCTACTCAAAGCACCTCAAAAGCTTTATCGGATCATCCAGAGAAAGACGAGTCTCTTCAAAACAGTATTTGAACTACATTTAAAATGACAGAAAAAGACAGTGGCTCATAACTTCTTGGCCTACATGAGGTGGCTAGTTGGTTAACACCAAAGGATGACAAAAGAGATCTTCTCATGCCTCTTGCTACGGTTTGGTAAATTCTCCCAGAATTGAGACTTCACGTACAAGACCCCAGGTACAAAAAAGCAGGATAAAATCTCTGTAGTATATAGAGGAAAAATGTGCTTGTAATTTCAGCATTTTGTTTTCAATAACTGTCTCCTTTCCAGCCGAAGCAGATACGTAGTATGTTATCCTTTTCTTGGCCTATTTGTTCCTCTACTTAAAGCAATCAACAGTAAGCTATGCGTGTATATAGCTAAGCAGACCAAAAAGCTTCAACTCCTCTGAATTAGGAGCTTCAATAACACTAAGTGTCAGTTTGATTATTAAGCGCTGCAGTGCACTGCTTACATTTGAAATCTTAAGAGTACCCTGTGCTACAGCATTCTATGCAGTATCACAAAGTTTTATTTGCTTTTTGTGACCTGGGTAATTTTGAAATAAGTAACTCAGTGGAAAACTGGAGGTCCATTCTAACTGAGATAATTTACTGCTAAGCAGAGCACTGAAGAGAAAGGACAGAGTCCGCGTTAAAATAAAAAAAGGGATGACTTTCTAAGCAATACACTATAGCCACATATTATTTCTGTATCAAATCCAGTTAATCACATGTAAAGTGCTTATGGTTGACAGAACAAACTTCCCAACCTCTTGTCTCTTCCACCTGTAAGTCCCAGCCTAATGTACTACTAAACGTCTTCGAACAAACCTTCTTTCTACAGGTTGCTCTGCCAACACGGCTGGTCTGCACGCCTGTTTTAAAGGATTCATGTCCCCTGTCTGGTTATTTTTCCCGACTTTCTCAGTTTGTCCAACATCAACCACTTATTACTTTTGATTTGCTTTTCATTTTACCTTTCTTGAGGCACAGGTAACAGATAACAATCTGAAAAATGTTAAAGCATCAAGATCTTCTTGGGCCACCACTGGAACTACTCCTTAGAAATAACCCATGTTACTGAGATGTAGCAAGATGCCTAACACTAGAATCTTATTTTTCCAAATTCTAGCCAAAATCTATGGTGATATTTCCCAGATGTGTTTTATGCACCAATTGGCTTAGATATATATTAAAGTTTTTAAAAAAAAAAAAAAAACAGAGGGGCATGTTGAACATAAAATTACACCTCCTGAAAAATAAAGTGTAGGATTAGTCAGTTGCATTTTCTCAGTTCTTAGAAATTTCTTATTTCTCATTTCACATATTTTATCCTAAACTTCTAAAATGACCATCTTCTCCTTGCACCAGATGTAGAAGATATATGACCTGAAAAAAAATATATATATGTAATTAAGAACTACTGTTGCTTTTTGTGACTAACCTGTAGACTGAAAGACTCCGGGGTTACAAAGACAGTAGCGTGAAGCAAAAGCTTCCATCATACGATCAATTTTTTGAGCCTCTCCTGGGAGCCTGAAGCTCCACAGAAACTGCCTACAGAAGGGAAGAATAATTGTTAGATTCCTTCTAATATTTATATATTAAATATAACATTGCTAATAATCAGAAATAGAAATCAATAATGTATTTGAAAAAACGTACTTAAAATATGTTCTCAATCCCTGAACACACAAGTGAGGAGCTATTATAAAGCAACATGCACAGATGGCTAGCCCAGTAACTCAGCCAGCAACACTGCGTGCTATCAGGCAAGATAATATGGTTGTTCAAATTCAGAGATTCTCTTTCTTTCCATATTAGAAAACAATCTTCTGTATGCATCCCATTTTTGTCATGATAATGGTATGGGGAAACCAACAATTCAATACTACCAGGGCTTCCTAGCTACTAAAAGCAACATACACTTTGCTAAAGTTTACTTACAATGTAAAAAGATAACATTACATAAAACATTTTAGGCAGGGGATAGAGGCAAGTAGATAAAAACCATGTTGTTACTTGAACTCTTCAAACATTAAAAAAAAAAGTGCTTTGAGAGAAGCTCTACCTGCCTAGTATATGTTCATCCTACACTAACTGTGCCCAGATCTTAAAAAGAAAGACCCATTATATCGTTTCAGTAATTTTCTAATATATGCAGAAGATCTATGCTCCTGTTTAGCAGCATGAACTGAAAAAGGAGTTTTTGCTTTCACAAGTTACTGTTTCTACGTATAAATACACTGGAATGCATACAGGACAAGTGTCTTAACAAATTTACTTTCTGGCACACTGTGGAGCTAAAAAGCTAGAACGCTAGAATAAGCCAGAATCACTTATTCTTTTCTTTTTTAGCAAGAGAATTATTTAAATTAAAACAGAATTCAAAACAGCAAAGTTACATGCTCTGCCATGCAAAATAAGATCCCCATTTCTCTGCACACGAGATGCCAATAAAATAACCATTTACTCCTGTCCTCATCAGTTTTCATTTCAGGACACTATCAAATTGTCACAGGCCATCTTCTGTTTGTCTCTTTTACTTGCCTTGTGCGAGGTCCCAATCCAGAACAGGAATTTGGTAAGCTACCAAAATACAAACATTTAACAGTAGCGGCTGCTAAAGAAGAATAAAGTCAAACCTAATGTCAAAGTGGGTAAAGGAGGTAGGAGCACGAAGCATCCCAGGAAGCTGCAGTAGGCAGAGGCTGCCCTAGCTCAAGCCTCAGGCAGCACAAGTCACCAGCACCACGCAGCTCCACCAGAGCCAAGCTGTTCGACTCCACGTCTCAAGGCACAGCACCGGGGACACAGGCCGCGCGAGCACGTCCACCTGGCTGGTGTCGGGAGGGAGCCGCTTGCGGCTATGGCAGCGGCACAACTCTCTAAACCTACTGAATTTGCTGAATTTATCACGGATTTCTACCATGAGAAGAGGAGACTTCAAGGTACGTACGTATGCTGCCATCCCAGAAAATCAAGTAAACTGTTCACTTAGCAAGGATAAAGGTATACTAAGATATCAAACTTCTTAGGTGAAAAGAGGGAAACTACAAGGAAAGCAGAGGAAAATACTTGTTCCAAAGTTTATCTGCTTGCAAGGGAACACAATCACTGATCACGGTGAGCAGGACTTTTTTTCTCCCAGAAAGAACAAGTTGAGGGGGGGAAAAGAAAGGAGAAAGGAACAAAGAAAATTATTTGTTTTGGTTATTGTTTGTTTTTAGCCTTTCTCTACCTTAATATATAAAATGGATCTTCAAATATCCAAGTTTGGCAGGCACACCGAAGTGCTATGGCTACCTTTTAGTTGTTTGTATCTGTCTGAAATACTTAGTTTCACTTTCAAAGGTGGCATACACGAAGACAACTGGAAAAGGTTAAAACAAGAGTTTTCTCTGCTAACTTGCACAGTAAAGCATATAATCGTGCTGAGCTGTAGATCAGCTTTATGATGAGTAAGTCAGCACAGTGACTCATAGGAACGTGCAATACGATAAAGGCAGCAGCTCAGGTCAAAAAAAAGAAAAAAAAGAAAAAAAGAAAGAATTTACCCACCTTAAGGCTTGCACAAGATTGAGATCAGCGAACTCATGGAGTTCAACAAAAGCCTGAAGAACTTTAATATTAAATTCGTCTCTATGAAAGACAAAAACGGAAACAGACATAGGTTTTTTGGTATCTCCATTTCTTTCCTGAGAACAAGCAAGCAAACACTTAATAATAGTGATCAAATCATCAGAAGTATTTCGCGTTTGAGGTTGTGGGTTTTTAGCACTGCTTATTTAAGTGACCTGAGAATGACCTGGGTTTCTTTGGTTCATATTTATTATTACTGCACCTGCCTTGACGTGGGAAGATATCTGATAAATATATTCAGCAAGAATCCTTTGCAGAAATTGTGTTGTGAACTCTTTAACAATGGCTTATGCATGACTAATATCTTTAGCCATTCAACAACACAGGACAAACAAATTTACCCCCTTTTTTCCTCTAAGAACAGAAAAGATTAAAATCAATGTATTAGCTCGTATACCGAGAAGAGCAATGAAAGACATAAAAAAACTATTCTTTTTTTTAAGTTTTTTTTTTAAAAAGCTACTTAATATGTACCATATCCCTGTTTCATTCTAGAAAGCAATTACAATGACAGTTTACTAACACAGCATGTTTTAACTGGGCTTCCTCCCACCTATCTTTTCACCTGCTATATAAAGCATGAGTCGAAGCATGCTTTGCCTGATACAAAGGTGTTTACATGCAAAACTAATATTTAAATATTAACGAACCCCAAATCATTTGGATGCAGACAGAATTTAGCCTGCGCCATCAGCCTGCGCCATCAACAAGTTCGTCCGCCACGAGCATAAAAGGTGTAAGCCGTAGGGCGTGCTGGAAACCACATCACCACCCCTGAGCGCTGCGCACCCGCCTCCACCCAAAACCGGGCAGAAAAAAAAAACCCACATGAGCTCTGTCAAGCAAAAAGGAACTCTTATCAGACTTAGTAAGGCACAGCTTAGGCGTGCGACTGTTTTTCAATGCAGTGGAATAACCTACCTTAGCAGTGTAACTAAACACAGCACTCAATAGAGGTACTTTGTTACTATAAACCAATTATTGATCTTGCTTACTTGTGCACAAAACTGCAGTAATTCAGAACAAATGACAGCCTTGCATTCTAATTTTTGCTCTTTTAGGTTTTAACGTAGACTGGATTAATAGTGATACTTGTGCTGGGCACAGCTCCAAAGACTGCAGCCCAAATACCACAAAAGGTCTAGAAAGCCACTTATTTTTAAGTGAAGAATGATTCACATCTAAAGAACTCTTTAGTCTTTTATAGGATGCAATTCATCTTTTATTTATTGTACGTTTTGGGGGTATTATTTTGTTTCACTTTGCCATTCAGTTTTTCCAATTTACAGAGTGCTGTAATACTATATATTAATGCAATGCCATAATTTAAAATATGTCCATGCATATTCCTGAAAACCAAATTGCCCTGTTTCTTCACCCACATCCCCCTTACTATTTCATATTATTTCAGCATGAAAAAAGTAGGTAAGTCCTATTTGCTTTCCCATAACTATATTAATATTGCATCACTCATAGAAATTAAAAAACAAGGAAATACAATGGAAGTAGAGATAAGAGGCATTGAAAAAAAAGTTATTTTAAAATAAAAAATAATTTTAAATTTCTTTTTTATTTCAATTGCTCCTTAAACGGATACACTGCCTTGTGGCAGAACAGCAGCAGTATGTTCATTTTCTCACCTCTCCTAAGACTTTATCACCCCCTCAATAGATTTACAGGAAATTCCCAGACTGAATTTGCTATTCAGTGCTGGTGTCTATATTTGCCTGTAGTTAAGCCTTGGGAGAAGGGGGGGGGGGGGGGGGAAAAGGGGGGGGGAAAATCAGGAAGACGTCACTGAATTGCTTATTTATCAGTACACCTAATCAATATTACCAAAGGTTGCCCTGCGTTTTCAGCTTACTTTTGAACTGATAAAAGGGAGAGATTCAGTAGTTTTACTTGCAGAGTGCGGATGAAGAGCACAGGGCTGTCCAGCTTGGAACGGAAGAGAACTTGCAAAAAAATTTTGAATTTTAAATGTGAACCTATAAATAGTGACATGACTATTCATGATAACTCCATCGGGACTGGATGTATGATAAGACCTTTTTCTGCGTAAGTAAAGCCGTTTGAGGATTAGGGCTGGAAAAAATGGAATTATTTCAGAACACAATACCACAGCATAACATAGTGCTCTTAAAAATGAGCAGAAAGCTTTATATAAGCTCTATTACAGTTTTACAATTATGAACATTTATATATAGCTATAAGTAATTGCAGAGCACTGTTAGCCCAAATATCCAAGGGAAATTTCATAATGCTTCCTATAAAAATTGTTGAAATGTCTACATACATTGTGGAGAAACTTTACAGTGAAAATACATTTTCAAAATACATATATTACAGTGAAAACTTCCATTAAATGTATCAATTTCAAGAGGAAATTGCTGTGCACAAATTAAGCCCCTGATCCTGTAAGCAGATGATGGATGCCTCAAAAGGGAGCTGCCAGAACATACCACTAGAGTGGATCCTAAATGAGTCAACTTCTCAACCTCCACAACTGGCAGCCGAACCTGAACGCGCGCAAGCACGTACACACGCATACTCCATCTCACTCTCCGCTTCTGTCTCTTTTTGCAGCAGCTACCAAGATCAGCTCCTCGGCTGCTCAGCCACGGAAGTAAACTGGCACGTTTATTGCACTAGAATTGATAGAGCTACGGTGCGGCTGCCCTGTGAGATACCTACTTACCGCCCAGCAACGTTACGGGAAATCTGTGTGCAGGGAAGGCAACACTACAACCCGCTTACAACCACTGGCACAGTACTGTCAATTTTAATAACTATTACTAGCAATTGTAAGGCATTCCTTGTCTGGACAAGGCATCCCTTGTCTGGACAAGGCCTCAGGAGCTACCAGAAACGTTGCAATACAACTCTCAGACATTCCAAAAGCTTTTGGTATTAAATTCTTCACTATAGCCAAATTTAAGAGTACTTTCTCAAAACAGCAAGTTACAGTGAATTAAACAATACATTATGAAATAATTTATCCATTTAAAACAAACAAGAACCAAATGGAAACAAAATCCATCATAATAGGGTAGTAGTTTTACTTCCCAATATAGCTTTTATAGATCTCCGAGTACTAGCCAGCTCCTGTGGCCTGTGAAGGGGAAGGTAACTTTCAAAAAATCCCTAAATGTACTTTGTAAACACAAGAACAAATTTTAAATATTTTTATTTACCTTTCACCAAGGTAATCTCCAATTACCGTTTTATTTAATCCTTCTCCTTTATAAAGGAATTGTGCAATGTCTTCTGCAGTGTTCTGCAGGAGGTCATTTTCTATCAGAAACTGTATCCCCTAGGAAGAGCAATTCCAGAGGAAAAGGAACGTTATGTTTTCTTCCACAAACACTTATGTACATATTGCTCATGACATTTGGCACAAATATGTTGACACAGACATATATTTCTCATACTGTGAATTAGATTAGTCTGCAGATTAAAAAGAATAGTAAACAAAAGAATGTTTTCAGTTAGACAAACAACATTTAGTATGAATTTACAGATTCAAATAAGAATGCATTTTTAAGGCCAGAAGTACTACGTGGCAATTTAAAATTCCTCAACGATAGAAATAACAAGTATTATTAAAGTAATGACTTCATATTGCATTAATGTGCAAATTAGTCTGTTCACCCTATTGCTCAAATGTGTGTCAAGTCATAATCTGCAAGATCATAATAATGAAGAGGTATACAGGAATAACTTAATTACCACTATGACACAAAATAAAGCATCTGTTATAATTTGCAATCAGCAACCCAATACATCAAGCCCCTACTTGCAGTAGGAGTTGTGGCTGAAGATACTGAAACCGGTTTAAAGAGATTATGGTTACTGCTGACACCGGCATTGTCACCGACTTCTGGCTGCGCTTCAACCGAGCTATTCGCAAAGGAGTGTCCATGAAACCAGTCGAGCTTCTGCCACGGAGCTTCTGCTGAAGTGAGGAGGAGAGGCTTCGCCACCATCCAGGTGGTGGTGTTGGATCGAGCCCCTGTAACCCTGCCCTGCCGTGAGTTACTGACCCCGCAACGGGCACGTTCTAGGGATGCCCAGAGAACCTGCTGCAGAGCACTAAAGAAAGGAGGCTAAGTTATACTAAGATTTTTTTAAAGGACGGAAAATATAGTATTCCAAAACTCAGCAGGTCATGAAGGGATGTCTGTCTTTTCTTTCACCCCATACCCCAAAGATGTTAATACTCCTGCTGATTTCACTAAAGGGTCAGCAGCATGCTAGTAAAAAGTAGAAGCAGCAGCTATAAGCAAACTTAATGTCTTGGATTCAGAATATGCACAGAAAAGCTTAATAGTTGTTCCAAACCTTTCCTATTAGAACATTTGATAATTTCAGAAATAATAATTTTTTCACTTTTTCATTGCAAATGGAATATTTATATATTTATATATATATTTAAAATCTCATTCCAACTTTGAAAATTTCCATTATTTTTGGACAGAGCAAGCACAAGGGTCTATAGTAGCCCTCAAAAAAGTAACTATCCTTCTGGTCGGTTGTTTCTGTTTTTTTATAACTACCACCTGCCTGACAAAAAAGTCAGTTTTCTGACCTACTTTGGCAGAGAAAAACTGTGATGTTACTACTCTTGAAGCGTTAAAAAAAATCTGGACTCTACTTTTCTCAAAACAATTTTATCATCAACTGAAAACTTATTTCAATGCCAGGCTGGCATTCTGAGTCTCACAACCTAATACTCTTACAAGTTATTAAAGAACAGGCACAAATGCGTTGCAAAGAAAACATCGGTTTATCATGAAGTAGAAAGAGCTGAGCCTTCCTCAGAAGCGATCACTTAAAAGCTTACTTCATAACTGAATATTTGTACCAAAAAATTCATTTGACAATGCAGTGTAATTTTTTTTTTTTTTTCCAACAGCAAGTTATTCAAACACTTTTCTCAGCTCTATCAACTGAGAGAGCACCTTCCTCCCAGCAAACATCAGCCACAGCAGTTGCAGGCTGCCTTCTTCAACACCTGGACCATATTATTCATGTTTAGTGAAGCAGACTGACCTGAATAGTTTTTTCAAAGGTATGAAGAAATATACATGTTACTGAGAAAAATGATGGAAGTGATTACAATTATGGAAAACAAATTTCTTTGCAGAGAAGCAGATACCTTAACGATACAAATTGATTTTTTTTGTCTTTTTTTTTTTTTAAACTCTTCTCTTTAGGATGCTAAGGAACCATGAAGTAGATAGGCAGGAAAAGGAAATTTGTCTGGGAGAACAACTGTACTGCCTGGAATAAATGGTAAAATAGGCTATCCAAAACACCCTCTACTCCTACACTATCTTTTGACTCCGTGTAAATTTTTTCTGTAGACAGATGTTAGATGGGAGATATCTGTGTTAGTTTCACCTCCCACACAAAATCCAGGCTTACAGAAATATTTAATATTCATTAAAAATGTCGCACAGGTTTTCTGAGTCAGCACAGTGAAATCTGCTTTGAATTTCATAGTTTTTACAGTAATTTACTTAGACATTTTCCTGTTGCTTAAACCCTGTCTTTATCATAGAGAATTCATTTCCAGACCGTACTGACTGCCAGCGCTGGGAATTTCAAGCACAACTGCACGATCCCTGTGCAGGGATCCTCGAAGCATTTCACAGGCTTTGTCGTTATAGCCCTTGCCACCCCAGCTATCCAAACGCAAACAACTAGTTACGTGATGTTACCTCACGAAACTACACTAAACACAGCGATCTCGAAACAGGGGGTTTTTTGGAGGGGAGAGAGGAGGAGTAATCGCTCTGCATTAAGCGCTGGAAAATTTAAAGGTCTTCAAATAAAATTTGAGAAAAATAGAGAAATTAGCTCTATATGTTCTTGCCAACGAGAATGTGTTAGATGTCTTTTTTATTATTTGTTTTTAAAGGAGAGAATTTGGGGAATTCAACACACGTATTGTTATCCCATTTCTTTCACATTCCTGTCTATGGAGACCATTTTCTCTCCCATTTAGGAAAAAAAAAAAAAAAAGTCCTTTTCCACAGTGATTCCAAGTTAATTCTCTCAAACATCAGAAGGACATATATTTTAGCTGCCTATAATTCAAAGTAACAGTTGCTAACAAAGAGATGATCCAGCTTTAGAGCAGCCAGCTCTTGCAGGCCACCACTGCTTCACAGACATCATTAAGGAATTACTACTGTAAGTCTATTCACCACATTTAAATTATGTTACAGGAGCAATGTGGCCACAGCATCTATTTATAGAAATAATTTCACCCACCAATAAAGACCAGCTAACATTGCAACGAAAATATTTGACATCATTCTGTGATTTTACCACAAACTTCTAGGAGGCAAAGGAGCTGGAGAAAACAACATATCAGGATATTTGAGGATATTCTGCCCTCAGCAGAACCAAAGTCAGACAGTCGCCAAAACAGACAAGAAAAATAAAAGACATGGTCAATGGCTTAAAAAAAGTTCTGTATCACAAAACACTAGAGTGCTTATGGTAAGTTGAAAATAGCCCCCAAAAAACAGTCGACATTATTGTACTTGGAACATCACAGAAAAGCCACCAAAACACAACTGAATTAAATACGTTTGGAAAGAAAACATGTCAAGAACAGACACAGGAAAACAAAGGCTTATTAAAAAATTCTGAAAGAGTTGTTAAAGATCCTTCAGAAATTCAAAATGAAATCCTAACGAAAACAACAGAAGGCAGTAAAAGATAAAGCAAGAAAGCTCCAAAATGAAAAGTAAAGGTTAAAGGGGAAATCTAGGAAACCAAGTCAAATATATCAAAGCAACACTTTTTTTTTTTGTAATATATCAGAGGGAAGTCTACAAGAGAATGAGCAGGTCACGGAATTCTCAAGGTAAAACCGCTATTCAGCGGAGCAATGAACTACTTTACCTTTCAGCTAACGCACAGTAGCCTTCTTGAAACTGATAACCAAGTATCCACTTGCGGCTACTTACCAGTGGTACAGGTACGTATATATGTATGTGTGAACACGCGTGCATATATAAGCATACAAATCTATACACATGCATTATTCACAAACAGAATTTAGATAAGCAAATATAAGAGTCTATGTGAGAACAAATTTTGAAAAACATTATCGATATCTTAAAAGAACAAAAAATAGGGGGCAGACAATACATATGGCCTAGCTAGTAACCAAACTTCAAAATATTTTCATAATTACATTTAGCATACCAATACAAAACACCTCTATCAGGTGTAAATAATCTTTCTGCAAGCCAACTCAATACCTGGCATATTTGACCTTTGATAATATTTTCTGTTATCAAAAAAAAGTCTGCTTGAGTGAAAAAAGCATACATGACTGGCAAATGACCAAACGACTGCACCTAATTTAACCCTCTGCTCAGTATGTTAAAGGATAGACAAATAAGGCCTATGAATTTAACACTATCAGACATGATTTCTTTAAGAAAACAGTCTATATTTGCCACAAATCACATCACTAGCAGGAACCTGAGTCCTGACAGGTTAAAAAACAAAACAAATAAACAAAAAAAACACCACACAAAACACATGCTCTACCTTCTTAGGATCCATGTTGAATTTCTTCCTTCCCATAGCTACTTGCTTATTTCTTTGCGTAGCTTTGCTTCATATGGAGAAAAAGAAAAGGAAGAAACAAAAAGATTATCCCTTGCTCTTAGATAATTTCTGGACGAACCTCTTAACTTGACCGTTGGCTACTTTTGTATTTTCAATTACAGAACTGAGACATTTAGTTTTCACAAGGGGAAAAATATGTTACAATTTTAAATTATTTTAAGTGATCACAGCTTTAGAGCTGTATCATTATCAATAGAACAGCTGAAAGGATCACACTCTATCCAATATATCTATCACTTTCTAGCCAAAGCAAAGACACATCTGAATGGGATAAGACCTTATAACAGAGTGGAAAAAAGGTGATCAAATGTTTGTTCAATATAATAAAGCTATCTGTATTTGCTGTTCCTGAAAGACCTGTTCCAACATCTTACTGAAGCATTCCCATATCGTTAGCATTACTTACCTTTCTTCTACGCTAGTCAGATTATCAATTTCTGTCATAACCTCGGCTATCTCAAATTTTAATCTCTGCCAAGAGAGGGAAGTAAAGTAAGTCAACCAACATTAAAGCATTTTTTGAAATTGGCTAGCATATACGGTTATGATCAATTAGTTTTTGTTTTTTTTTTTAAATATTTACTAGTCATCTGAAGAAAAGTAGTGAACCTTCCTGAGATTCTTAGCTTAAAGATTTTAATTTGACCACAGCTGAATCACTGTTAAACACGTGGATCTTAACTCCCAGTGCGTGCCCAGGTCGGAACACCACAATCAAAAAATCCTCTTCCGAAAGCTGTTTTTCAGATTCTGTTCTGAATACAGATTTTACACCTATTATTCATCTGCTTACCTTCAATGTCACATTATTTCATGTTCTTTACCACTACAAGAAACATTAACCATTTCAATATAATTTTTTTTTGCTCAGATTTCTCATTCACTGCTACCCTGAATACAAAACTACTGTATATGAGATATTACACTAACCTAGAATATTTACATATGCACATGTTACATTACATACAGATATTAGCATTTTTAAAACATAAATGCTGCATAAATCCTTTTGATAATTAGTAAGATTTAGGTTAAGCCATTTAGATGCTTTTGAAAACATTACCTGCAGTTCATAACTAGGTAGAGGGAAGTGTTGCAGTGTACTGTAACTTAATCTACTGAAGCAGTCCTGTAAGAATTTTTAGAGATAAATTACCTCAATATCATCAATCAGTTCTTTTTTCCTGCGACGAATATTTAGCAGTTCTTCTCTTTCCTCTATGGAGAGGTCATCAGGCACTGAAATACAGCAAAAAGTACAGTCTTTCACCATTTGCAAACACACTTTACAGAAGAAAATCAGACTATGTCGATTAAGAAAAGCAAGTTTACAGGCAACTTCATGGCATTTTTTTTTTTAGTCAAGATTATTTTCAGAGGAAAAAAAAGAAAGAAAACGGAATACTCACTTTACTGAAATTCTACTTTATAAATCATAAATTAGGTAATTAAATGAACGACTATGGAAAGAATCTGTCTTTCAAAGAAAGCCAGACAATTAAAGGGAATCTGTTCTCATATAATGGGTCATCAGATTTGGCTCTACAGTTACATTGCCAAATTCATGTCTGGCATCACTCCAATTGTTTCAATAACAGACCAAAATTCTCCATGTAAATTAAGTATGATTTAACACACATGCACCTGACTATCTTTTCAGGAAAAAAGGTAACGCTACATAAAACTCATTACAAAGACACGCATCCTGGTGCTGATTTCAGACGACAACATATTTTCAGGAGTACCCTTTTATTTGACTGCTTTGTACAGCAGATGCCTGTAAGTATAATACTACTAACATCTTTAACAGCGATTACTTCCCATCAGCAGGATAGACATCTTTCTACATTACAAATAAACAAACAGTTGGAATTAGTTATTTAGCACAGCATCTCACAAGCTTATGTTTTCATATAATATCATTTAAATAAGTCCGAAGTATTTAAGTCAATTTTAGATATCTTTTTGACTATGCTAAAACAAATATGCTACCATGTTGATAAAAATTACTTGCTACTGAAGATGCAAACACATTTCTGTACACAGCTTCGGCTGTCACTCACCCTAGCAGCAGCTCCCTTACCCCACTGTCTGCATCTGACAAGCAAACATGAAAAGTTGCTCCAAAAAACCTCAGCTTTTATTAAGCAATTGCATTCTCCCTAGCAAGAGGCTTCATAGGACAGAGACTACGCTCACTCACTTGCACAGCACTACCATATCAACCAAAAATATGCACCTGCTTTGCAACGAACCCATAGTATAATAGTTTTTCATGTGACTCACTCTCTTGGAAATTGCTCCAGAATTGCAGAACAACTTTTCCTTCAAGATTAGATAAAACAGAATATGTAAAACAATTAAAATTCTTTACCAACAAAAACATGTAAAAGTACGTAGTCATTTAAAAAGGCCAAAGTTGTTTCTTTATCTCATATGCCCGTGTCTAGCAGCTTCTAGCAACAGGATCAGGAGCTCAGACTTAGGTTTTATGGGATTTTTTTTAAAGATATATTTGAAACGTATCCTCTGTTCAAATCTTAACAGTGAAATATAGCGATTCTTTCTGGCAGCCAGTGATTAACCTCCTTTCCTCCTAGGAGTCTAAGCATAATATAAAATCCAAATGGCAACACAGCTTGTTAAACACAAAGTAATTATGCCAAATGATCTAATTTAACTCTTCCAGACACAAACGTAATTACATTACTCCCAGCTTAGGAAATGATAAAGTCTTTTGTTGAAAGAATACCAGACTTGAATATGTTTACCTGCTTTTTCCCTTCATCTCCCCAGAACCCTACCCATTCCTAAAAATTTCTTTCATGCAAATACTAACCGATTCTTTTTGCAAAACTTACAAATACATTTGCCTACCCCAGACATCACAGCTTTGTCTCACACGTACAGCCCAAGATTTTACATTGGCCAAACTCAAGAGATTTTCCTGACTACGCACACACTAGGTACACGCAGATACCACAGTCGTTCCAGTTACCTGACGACCTGACAACAAAATACGAAGCCTGTTACCTGAAGCTGATTATTAAGGTGGCAAGACGTGTATAAGCACTCAGCCTCTTAGCTGGGAAGTACGCTCCAGTATCCCTAAAGCGCTTTTGCAGTAGACGCAACTAGATTAGATTTTGCAGTATCAGTATTAGGAAGTGTTTGGGGCTTTTTGTTTGTTTGTTGGGGGCGGGGGGGTTGGTTTTTAACTTTTGGTCACAGCAGACGTTCTGGCAAATCTCATCTTCATTAGCAATTGGAAATACAAATTCAAACCTAAATAGACAATAACCTTTAAGTATTAAATGGTTAGTAACCATAGACGGTGCTCGATTTTTACTTCCAATCAAGTGACAAAAATCTTTGCAGCAGCTGCTCTTTGGGCGGCAGGATGCCGCCGCTCACCCTTACTGCGGTTTCTTTTCTCCAAGTCACTCTGCAGCTGAAGCCCACCGGGGTAAGGGTGTGGGACGCCTAGGACAAGTTAACGTCTCCTTGGAACCAACCCAAATGGCGCCACAGCAGTCTACCCTCCAGACAGCCACCGAAGAACAGAAATAAAAACATTTCAGTCCTTTTCCTACAGCACCCACAGACACTCTCCTGGGTTTTTTTTTCCATTTCCTCTGACAGTTCGCAGCAGCCACAGAGACATAACCCTCCTGATATGATTAATGATATTGTCACACAGGAAGGAAATAAACTAAACGGAGCCACGCCGCCGTTGGCCTTCGGAAGTCGCATCGAGGATCTATCTGCCAGCAGCAAGACGAGCGCTGTCTGCTGGCGGGACGGTTCTAAAGAGAGCGCTTGGAGGCGACGCCACGTCCGGACAACACCGTCACATGGCAGTCCTAACACCGAAGCCAAAAAAGGCTAATATCCCTTGAGAAGAATAAAGAGCCAGGACACAACTGGGTAAGCGTTAGGGTACTGCTTGGGCTTCTGCTGTAGTCAGGGCTTTATTTCCCCTTAGCCCGGCAGCCAGCGAGGACAGATCACTTCCTTGGCAGGACAGATCACTTCCTTGGCAGGATGCGCAGCTCCTGTCGTCGCCCCAAACTGGCCCGTGTGTGCAGACAACCGTGGGAGTTTGCTACGCGCTCACCCCCCTCCTATCATCACTGCCTCCCTTCTCCAGCGCTCCTGCTCGCGCTGAGGAGGAAACGGATCCATCGGAAAGTGAACCCCCCCACCTCCCCAAAAACTTTCTTAACAGGCTGCGTGGGCTGTCACAGACCGCAATTTCGGAGGCCTTACGGTTCTGCTCCAGGAGGCTGTGTGACCTCAGCCATGTCTACTGCCTTCTCCATGTTTCAATCCCCCTTCTTAAAACACAAATGCAACAACAGTATTTCTGTATTTCGGTGAAGGGCTTTGAAACATCAGCACTGTAAGGTATTTTTACCTTACCTGGAAGGAAAGGAACAGCAGAAGATGCTCAACTGTGGCTTAAAACATTGCTCATGCAAGAAGGGCACCACTAACATTACTTTTTGCTCTCGAGAATCTACTCTGCATTTTTCACTTCAATTATTCTTTGCTTTTCAGTGATCTCTAGTGATTCAAAAACACATGGAAAACAGGAAAAAACCCTACATTCTACTTCTAAATAAATAAAATGTTGCTTCAGTGATATCAGACCTGTTCCAGACTCAAACAGCAATTGGTCAATCCAACGGCAGTTTGAGGCGCCTTCTGCAACCCGCCGTGCAGCTACCGCAGCGAGAGCCAGCAAACCATGTCCTCTGGAGGGGAAACCTGTGGAATTGCACTGCTCAGGTATTCACCAAAAATGGAATAAGCACCTGCAATATTTCCAGTTTAAAAAGCATTCGTTTTATTTATTCAAAAAAAAAAATTGAAAACCCACAATTGAGATGTTTGACACAAAGACTTATTTTACAGCTGCTGAAAACAAACGTAAGATCAAATATGGCCAAAAGTTTAACAGCAGTGCATTAAAACTTTCTTACAGTCATAAGCAAATATTGCAGGTACATGACACAAATATCCGCTCTGACAAGACTGCTTCCATTAAACAACTTTGACTCTTCCATAGCTAAAATACTCAAGTTTGTTGTTTAACCTTGTGTCCATATAACCCTTCGTACAGAAGGGCTCCTAGAGCGCACATTACGCATTTGTCCCATAAGACAGGTTTTCTAGCTGCCCTCTCTCAGTCACTTCCAAGTTTTCTGCGGTTCACCAGCTCTAAACACAAAGTAGACAGGATAGGAGGAGTCTGCACGAACATTTAAATAACAAAAAGGAACAAAGATCCTCTGGAGGGAAAAGTGTTACAGCATAGCGAACAAGCTGCGGGTGCACCATGCTTTCATGATGTCTTCTAGTCTTTAAATAAAAAGAATGTTCTATTGCTAACGCAACTCATTCATGCGACAAACCTTTTAGCCCGCGTGGAAAGCGTTTCAGCTGCTACTAAATAGGAAGTCAATTTAGTTACTGATCTTTCATTAAAGAGGAACAAAGTTATTGAAAGTACAAATTATACTCTTAGCCAAGTAGTAAAACAGAAGAACGCACAACAGCACATATATATGTATCTATATATACACACACTCACACACACACATATATATAGTTACTACTAAAAGTTACCGAAATTTGAATAGATATCCCCAGTTTGGTCTATCTTTGTTCAATTACTGTAACTGATCTAAATGCATTTCATTGTATTTCTTCTAAACAAACATTTACTGGAATATGCACATTTAATACAGGTTTGTTTACAGTAAATGGGTTACCAAAAAACCTAAAAAAAACCAAAAACACCTGTAGTTTGCCATAGTAATTAGTGTTTTGTCCTGCAGTTGTGATGTCACTTTCTTAAATAAATTCGCTACTACTACTGACAACACAAGTACAGTATCCAAACAAGAATATTAACCAAAAACCCTTAAAGCTTATGAATACACAGTAAGCATCTATTTCTCTCTACTAAAAAGCACTGGAATCAATTAGCTTCTTAGGTGCTGACATTTAAGGTATAGCAAAATTTAAAAAAAAAAAAAAACAGAGGTGGGGGAACAAATTCAACTGCAAAATGCAATGCTTTACATTCTTGTTTCCTGACAATTCCTCTACACCATCATTTGCTTTGTTTTACTACATTTCAGTGTATTTTCTTCATATTTATTTGTTAAGCATTAAGCAAATAAATTCAGCATTATGTAAAAGCCATTTATCTAAATGCAGCGTTTTGGGGCAAGCAGGCACCCAAAAAGAAAAAAAAAAGTCCTT